ATTAGTTCTCGGATTTGCTTCTTAATACCATTAAACTTTTTTATTTTGGTTTATCACCATACTTAAAGAGCATTGACTGTTAGAATATAGGCCAACTATTTAATACCCATCAAGAATGAAATCTTTTTTTAATCCGGATAGATAGTCAAACAACAAACTTGCATATCCTATTTCCACGAGTTTAATCTTCACTAGTTCCATTGCGTGTTGAAAAAAAATTTACTTACAGGGAGGCATTTGAAAGTTGCTTGAACTTCATTGGGCGAAAGAAGAATTGAAATGACTCCAATTATTTATTTAAATTTCTCCCAGACTTGTCTACTTTGTGTGATACATAGACTTTCAAATTTGTATACATGCTCTTAATTTGCGTCATTGTGGATGTAAAACAGGAGTTTTTCATCTCGGGAGGAGATGGCCTTCCGCGAGGGGTTGTTGAGAATCAGGTGTCACGTGTTCGGGATGTAGTAAAGTTGCACAGCTACGAGGTTAGTTCATCGTTTTCTCTGGTTGAAAATTCATAAGTGAATCAGATTATTTCAGGCATTATACTATTCTATTGCCAATAGGAATAAGGGTTAAAATGCAAAATGTACATCTAGACAGTTGTCATTTTTTAATTCAATTTTTGACATTTCTCTTGCTTTGATTTGAACAAGTTGGTTTGTTACGAACTAAAGAGAAAGTGTGAAAGAGAGAAATAACCATTGTTTATGAACCATAGAACGAACCACACAATATTCGTCTTACTGGAAATAAAAGCTTATGCAAGGCATGAAAACTCCCAAGGTAACGGAGTAGAGGAGCCAACAACGATCTCATTGTCGAGCATAAACTGGAGCTTGAACACACACACACACACACACACACACACACACACTCACACAATATTCGCAGAACTGATTTTGGTTGTGATAATGTCGACTATCTTGGTTGCTTTGGTAGATAACATTGAACTAATTATAAGATGTCTGATGTCCCTTTTTTTATGGGTTCTTTTTCTTTTTACTCTTTCTGTTTACAGACTCGAGAACTGATCGACGACTTGAGGTCTTCCAGTGGCCCGGAAGCGCGGGGTGGTAGAAGCAAACTAGGGGCTGATTCTAAGACACTGTTGAGAATATTATGTCATAGAGGTGATTCGGAGGCCTCTCAATTCCTCAAGAAACAGTACAAGATACCGAAGTCCGCGGCGTAGGGATTATCTTTGCTCTTCAGAGAAATGTAAAGCGGTAAAATTTGTATTGTTTTTGAAATTTGTTTGTGTAATTAGTTCATTGTTCTATCTTTGTTTATGTAACTTATGAACATGTAATAAGAGCTATTTTACATATTAAATCTGTACTTTTTTCGGATTCCTAAATCTTTCCCTTTTAAGATGTGAAAAGAAAACGTGTATTTGAAGCAAATAGAACGCAATGCACTTGCTGTCTCCATTACAACCATTCCCGGTGGAAGGAGTAACTTTGTAGGAATGACGCGGACGGTTTCGTCAAATGACGGAGATTATGCCGTTCCTCTTAGAGCAAGCCCAGCGTTGGGTATTGCTCGGAGGACAGGGGAAGGAACAAGGGCCCGAGGCCCGGTGGATGAGCTCCAGCATGGGCTAGCCCGAGTGAAGGTGGAGGCCCGAGCTTCGAGCCCGTAGGGAATTGCCAGCCCGAGAGCCTGAGGCTATGTAACGTCAGGTTGGCGTCAGCGTAATATTTAATTTTTTTTGTGTCAGGCGCGTGCACCCCACTCGCGCATGGGGGTGCGTCGTCGACACAAAATCAGAAAAAAAAAAAAGTTTGTTAGTTACCGTTGGGAAGCCACGTGGCTTCCCACGGTCCGTTAGATCTCAACGGTTACTTAATTTGGACCGTTCGATCTCAACGGTTAAAAAAAATTTAAAAGTTAGATTTAATATCCACCGTTCGATCTGAGATCAACGGTGGATATTAATATTCTTTATAAACAAAAAAATAAAAGAAAAAATATTTTTAAAATTAAGAAAAGTTACCGTTGTGACACGTGGCACAATCTGGAGTGTTGGAATTCAAATTTTTTTATATCCAACTGCAGAGATTAATTAATTGAATAAAAATTTGAAAAAAATTAAAAAAAAAATCTGAAAAAATCTGAAAAAAATTGTAAAAAAAATTGTTTTTACTTTTCTATAAATACCTTCTCATTATCATCTACCTGACACAACAATTTCATATTTTCTCAACGAGTACGATTAAAAAATTTATCGGAAATCCATCCTCAATAATTGTCTTTTCGGATTTTATGATAAGTGGTGTAACGACAACGATTACAAATCTTATCCGAAATTACAAATAAAATTATTTTGTATTATTTAATAATACTTCGGATAATGACACGTGGCGCAACGAGAACAATTAAAAATCTTATCCGATATTACAATTAAAATTATTTTGTATTATTTTATAAATAAAAAAAATACTAATATTTTATTGCCTATTGCCAGAGCTATTGAAGTGTAACGGTGGAGATGCAAATGCTATTGCCAGGGCTATTTACTGTTCATTAAGGGCAGTTACTGTTCATTAGGTGGATTGAATAGTGCATTGCCTGGGGGGAGGGCTCCAACGTTGGAGTTGCTCTCAAAGATGATAAGAAGGGTTGAACTGTACATACGGCCATTTAAGTAGCTAGTCCATCTGTAGGGGCAGAACTTTAAGACCAGTCATATTCACAACCCCACCAGGAACTGGGAACAGTCCTTCATACAAGTCGTAGCTAAGACTAAGTACCAGGAGTATTTCGTTAAAACCGCTCTTTTAAGCAACGTTATTTCAAATGTTTATATTTGGCTACTGCTACATAATTTGATGACCGAAGAAAATGTTTATACTTGATAATCATATTCAAGTATAATAGCTGATCAAAAAGAGGTGGTTCATGGTGAACCCCTGTGTGATAAAGAAAATGTTTAATCAAAGAGACTAGAAACTCATAACCACATAAATAACAATCTTATTATTAACATGGATGGATGTAATATCATTTATTATGTTTTTAAACACAAATCATAAGACTATATATTTCTAGTTTCATTTCACCTGTAATTTATAACCTGCCCCCTTCCAGTTTAAACTTTAAAGGATGCTTTTCTTTAATCCTGGTTCTTGACAATCAGTGAAGAGTAATAACACATACAGACATTAAACTTGAAACCTTTTTCCAAGCAGATGCTACACCTACAAAAATATATTAAGCACGCCTCGGGTTTCAAAGACTTGTTTCTCTGAACATATCATGGAGTTGGAGCTAAAGAAAGACTTTGGCGTAAAATTGAGTGCAATCGTGTTCTAGAATTCATATAGCCAACTTCATTTAGCGGGATAAGACTTGATGGTGGTTGAATAATTCTATCTTGGAGCCTTGACAGCCATTTGTAGACAACGAAAGACGCTCACAAGTCGCTCATACATATTAGAAAATTTTATTCGAACACATGTTTTATATCTCTACCCTAATTAAAAACGCTTTTTATCATTCCCTCTACATTCAACATCAGTTCCCAAACTATGCTGACTTTTACGACAAACCAACCTAAACATTTCTAAATCCCTAAAATAATTAATCCCGATGTATAACAATTCATTAGCTATTGCAGGTTAAGACGGCACAACACACTTATAACACACTTACACGAAGACTTGAGTTGAATTTGAGACGGTGTACATGTAATTGGGTACATTTTTGCTCATCACTCTTACATGCTAATAACGGTCACCATCTTATTTATCACCATCGAATAAATTTAGAGTTTGAAAGTTATATCTATCTACTTGTTGACCCTAAAAAACTACCAAGCCTACGTGGCGCGCATACCAAGTAACTAATAAACTAACTACTTCCTTCAGCTATGTGCGGGGTGTGTCAACTCGTTGACCGAACTTGGTTGGGGAGTAGAATGTGTTGATGACGCGTTGGACGCGCTGCTGACTTCTCGATCTTGTGACTGTGGCCGAGGAAGGAACACGTCTCAGCCTTCAGGTTCTAGAACCTGAAGACAAGGCTGCTAGTCTTGCGAAGTTCACAAATCGTTGGCGTTAGGTTCGGTCACAGTGATTATATTTATGAGAGTATAAGCACGCCGAACTGGCACATACTATATAGACACAAATACTCGAAAGAGATGTATGTCTTGATGGTAAATGTGGTTTGGCCATCGGAATGTTGAACTTTGAAACTTACTTACGAGTATCCAATCATAAAACAATTCAGCTTTCAATGTGTCGAGCCTAGTAAGGACTCGAAAATCCTTGTCGATCGTGACTTGGATAAATAACCAGTCGGTCTCAAAGTAATGCTATTTATCTAAACTGAAGGTGCTCCTTGATCAGCTGATTCTACAGCTCTAGTGTTGTTTATTCAAACTGAAGATGTCGCTGGTTGCCTTCACAGTACTGTTTATCCAAACTGAAGATGTTTTGGCGGGAAGAAAGGGGAAGAGGAGAAAATCTCAAAGGATGTTGAGAAGCCTTATGCAGGACAATTTGTGTGTTGAATTGGAGGGGTCTTGAATGATGCACTTTCTTCTCTATTTATAGCAACGAATCCCTTGCTAAACTAGAAATGGACTCGAATTAGAACTCCTCAACCCATTCCAATTAGGTTTCAGCCAATCCTAATCTCTACAGGATTTTGAACCAAGATCTTTAACAAACCAGATTCATCCCCTAATTCTCAGCAACCTTAGCCTTAAGACTCCTTGTTACACGAAGATTCAACTAACTCACCCTTATCCAAACCAAACCTCATTGTAATAGGATTTGGCTGACTTTGACTAGACGGCCTATAATAAGATTCTAGATGAATGCTACTAGGTTGAGAATGACTCTAAGCTTGACCCAAAATAATATTTTGGACCCAAACACCACTACACAAATCTCACAATTTAAAATAATCCAAAGATTATTGATAAGCTTTGTTCAAAAAAAACAAAAAAAAAAGATTATAGATAAGGTGATCAGCGTGGTGATGAGCAAAAATATTTTCATGCAATTAGCCTTTTTGTTAAAAAAATGAAGTGTAATTTACAATGGCGCTTTTGGACTTTGAATCATCCCTCTCTAAAACCCTTGATTAAACCCTAGAAAGCACTGAGATTCCTCTCTCTCTGAACTTTTGGATCAATTTCAATGGCATCAGGTGGAGGGAACGCAGGCGGAGGAGTGGAGTGGCATCTACGGCCTCCGAACCCTAAAAACCCAGTCGTCTTCTTCGACATCACCATCGGTACCATCCCCGCCGGTCGCATCAAGATGGAGCTCTTCGCCGATATCGCCCCCAAAACCGCCGAGAATTTCAGGCATTTTTCCCTCATTTTCCCTTTCTGTTACTATTCCTCTTTTGTCATCCACTTCATCGTTTAAGACGCCGTCGTTCGTTCCTGATCCAGCTTGCTTGTCTTCTCTTTTCTTGTTCCAGGCAATTCTGCACCGGCGAGTACAGGTAGCCAGCCTTAAGGGCCAAACCCATTATTTCATTCTCTCCAAGTTTGGGGATTTTGATTTTTACTATTTATTTGGATTTTGTAAAAAATTATTTGAATTGGATATTGTAATTTGGCAGAAAAGCTGGGTTGCCAGTTGGGTACAAGGGGTGCCAGTTCCACAGGGTGATTAAGGACTTCATGATTCAAGCTGGTGATTTTCTCAAGGTTCTTCCTTTTTCTTCAACAAGTATCTACTTTTGTTACGTAGGCCGTTTCAGATTCTTTAGGAGGGAAAGCTGATGGAATTTTGGGTTTGTTACCATTTTCTGAATATGAATGATCATGCTTATATATCGGCTAGGTAGTCATTTTTAACGGAGATTGTTTTTAACTGTGTTCTTCGTGTAATATATTCAGTGTGCAAGTTCTACCCCAATCATATCTATTCAATGCATAACACTGCTTACAATAATCTTCTTATTTCTTATGAAAAACATTATTGTGAGGAATCTGCGGATGAAGAAGGAAACTGCTGTTTTCATAATGCTCAAACTTTCTTCCTCTTGTTGTTGCAAGAATCTTATATTGAAGACCTTTCTTTGCAGGGTGATGGTAGTGGATGTGTTTCCATCTACGGACATAAGTTTGATGACGAGACTTTTGATGCCAAACACACTGGTCCCGGCCTATTGTCAATGGTATGCATTTTCATGTTGCTTTTAGTATTCAATAATTTTCTGTGGTTTTCCCATACTTTTCGAAGATTCATATCCAACATTTGTTTGCTTTACCTTACCTTCATGTACACTTGAATCTCTTTTATGTGGAGACTTGAAAATGGGTAAAGCTTTTTATTTAGTCCTTCAGTGCAACAAATTTGTACGTGGGGATACAAAAGATTAGTTTCTAGTTAAATTTATGTGTGGTTTAAGATGTGAAATTGATTGCTTCTAAATGTGCGTAGGTCACTGAAGAATTCTATACAATGATGAGCTTTTATACTTTTCATCCTTTCTTAGGCAGTATAGTTCATAGTGCTAGTGATTGGTCCTTTTATGTCAAAGTCTCATCGGCATTGGTTTACTGATGTAAGTGAGTTCGGAGTTTAAAGTCTTACCGGCCTTTGATTTTGGGTGAGTCTGTCAAAACTGAAGATCCAATTTTTGAAGAGTAATATTAGCATATTTCATCGGCATTCCTTGTTTTCTGGTATGAGTTTCAATTGTTTCTGTAGTGTAATTAATGTGTTGAGAGTCCTTCATATCCTTCTTCGTGGATATATATCCATTACTAATTAACTAGTTACTTGCTTCTGAACACATTGTAAGATGTGTAAGAGGTAAAGAGATAATGTGTTGATACGTGCACAGGAGTACTTCTCATTCCATTTTTTTTTTGTAAACCTCAACCTTTCTTTAGGTTGCTGCAATGTTCATTTAGAACAGGGAAAGAAGAAGGGGAATTGATGGGATTTCCAATGCCCATTAAACTATTAGGTCTACGCGCAAAATTAATAAGATGTATTAGCATTGTATTATTTGTTACTTCTTGTAAGATTTTATGCTTTGATTGGCCACACAAATGGCCGAGGATCCTGTCCGAAACAGGAATTTTTACACATGCACATACAAACAGAGACACAGATATATTTTTCGGTTCCAACATGAGATTGTACTCTTGATACTGAATCGATATAATCTTTTGCTCCTTTTCAGGCAAATAGTGGACCAAATACAAATGGGAGCCAGGTTAAAACAAAACTGTCTCTCTTTTGTTCTCTCTTATTACACACGCAGAGATGTGACTAATGTTTGTTTGCTTTTGCACTTCAGTTCTTTATCACTTGCGCGAAATGTGACTGGCTTGACAATAAACATGTTGTGTTTGGGGTACGCTATGACCTTCTCTCTACTGTCAATAATGCATTATATTTCTCAAACATACAAGTCACCTGATTTTTATCCTTTTACTACCTAGCTCTAAATCACCTGTTTTAGGTTTAACCTTCCAATTTTTTGGTAGTACTGACAAACTGTTTTATTTTTTGTTAATCTTATGTAGAGAGTGCTTGGAGATGGTCTTTTGGTTGTTAGGAAGATTGAGAATGTGGCTACGGGACCCAACAATCGCCCTAAACTAGCCTGTGTTATTGCTGAATGCGGAGAGATGTAAATCCCGAGTTTGTAAGCAGCTTTATTGATGGTTAACTATAAAAACTCTTGTAACCAATAGAATCTTAATTTTCCCATAAAAGCATTCTATGGGTGTAATTCTAATACAGTATATTGTTCTGACTTCTGACTTAAGATGAAGGATCCTGTTGTTCATATGTTAAACTGAGGGTTGCGCCGTTGTTTTTGGAAAGCAGAAACTTCATCAAAGCACTAGCTCGTTTAATGTATCTGCCTGTTGACTTGGAGGAGCCATCATGGTCCCTTTTCTACGTTCAATTACTCGAGTCGTTTTAAGTTGCTTTGCATATAATTATGTGTTGTTATCTCCATTCCTATATTTTCCCGTACAACTTGTGTTTGCCACCCTCTCTACATTATTGAACGTAACGGTCATGTCGTTCAACCTTAGTGTTTCAGTATAGCCACTTTTCGAGTCAACACTCACTCCCCAAGATTACCATCACACTCTCCTGTCTGTGTTTTCCTTCCACCCACTATGCATTCTTTTACTTACCCCGTGTTTGATAATTTGATCCAACATCTTCTTAAATAGGCAATTGCTTGTTAATTTTATGTTTGCATTTTCTATTGTTCACTAAGGTGGCTTTTGGTAGACAGGATTGGCTTGGATAGGATAACTCTTTATATTGAAGATGTTTTGACGGAAGAAATGAATGACAAGTTCCGTATTTTGTCCAAGTTGAAGGACTAGTGAAGAAAAGTTATCCTTACAAATTCCCACAAAAATAGGATTAAAAGGAGTAACCTTTAACTTGAGGATTGCCAAGGATAGCTTTTCTTCTCAAGTAACTTTCAACTAGAATGAATTATGGAAGTTGTCATCTATGTCTTCCTTCGAAATGCCTTCAATATAGTGAGTTATCCTATCCAAATCAACCCTGTCTAACAAACGCCGCCGTATTGTTTTTTCTTTTAAAGATCCGCGTTCCAGTTGTTCCAGTATGAAATATAAAAAGAAATGAATGATTTGTTTTCTATATTGTTTGGCTGTTCTTTCTCTATGTATTTTGAATTGCTTGGATGGGACAATCGGCTGGTATCTCTGTGGCCACCAGATTTTGGCCTCTCTGGTTCTCTGTGCTGTTTCTTTTCTGCCTTTCGGATTCCAGGCCAAACAAAAATTGTGACATATTCATTCCAAACGAGACGTTCGCTTTCTAACAAGAGAATGGAGTCTTAATAAAAATTAAAAATTAGGCTAATTAATGTTTTGATAGTGAGATTCATTTTATATATTAAAAAAAAAAAAGTCAGAACATTGATAGTGAGATTCATTCTAAAACTAAAAATTAAAAGGAGAACTAATGAAAATGATTTGAAACCTTTGAGTTTTAACGATAAGGACAAAATAAAGGATAAAGTGAATAGTACCAGGATTGATTTTTTAGTGTAAAAATGTGGTTTTTCGTTAAAGTGAATAATACTGGGAGCTTTTCGTTAAAGTTCTTAAAATTAAAAGGTTATAGACAATTGCTTGTTTTGCTTATGAACATTCTAAGAACAAAAGACATAAGCAAAACTTGTATTTCTTTGGTATATATGTAAAACTAAGGCCATCTCTGAGACTTTGATGACTCAGTGCGAAATTCATAAAAGGGCTTCTTTTTACAATAGTTTTCCAAAAAGAAAGTAAGACAATGTATTGATGCTAGAAAACAATAATTTTAAAAATAAAAAATAAAAACCTTAGGACTTACTGATTGTAAGTTTACAAATGTCGTTAAATAATAAATAAAAAAAGCTATAAACATATATAATCTTCACTAAATAATAAAAACAGTTCAATCTTTTTTCTTTTTTTTTTTAAAGAAAAAAACAGTTCAATCTTGACAACCAAACAAGAAAAAAAAACTTAAAAAACTCTAATTTAACGCTTCACTTGAATATATAATATTATTATATAATAAATTGAAAAAATCGATTTTAGGATTGTTATTGGCACTCTAAATATCTCATTGTGCACTTCAAATGTTTATATTTAGAAAGAAAAATGTAAAGTTATAAGAAGTGGACAATGAAAATTTTAAAATGCTAATAAAAATAATTTATTTTTTTTAGTGTCCCGTCAAAATTTAGGATCATGTGAGATTGCACCTTTCGGTTCCCTAAAGCGGCCTCTGTATAAAACAAGATGAATAAAAGTGGACGACCAGTGCATGTAGAAATCCGACTCTATTGATGAAATCGAAACCGTCAACCTAAACGAGTTGTCGTAAGCGTTTTCCAGGATTTAGAGACAACGTCCAGGCTGTGTTCACCAAATTAAGCTTGAAAGCACCTTTCGGCAGCGATGGAGCCGTTGTTTGTCCTGAAGCAACCGTGGGAGGCAAGAAAGATGCTATGACTAGTTCCTTAGTTAATAAACAAATATAGATGAAATTCTTGTAACCTTCAAAACTCTGGTTTTGTCATTAGTTTTGGCGGCCGGCCGGCTGAGTCTGAACTTCAGTAGACTTATAAAACCACAGCCTTACTTCTTCATATCTTCATTCAATCCCAAAATCTAAGAAGGATGGCTCAAGTACTTCAACTCTCTCTCCTTTATGTGGCATCAGTTGTCCTCATGTTTCAGCAATTTTGTGGTATATATGCAGCACTATTTTCACAATTTTTATCACATAAAACGTTTACTGTTCCTTTTATTTGAGCGATACTCTAAACCAATATAAATTACGGGGAGGGAGAATTGAACTTGAGTATGCTTAGGGGAAGCTCACTCATTAGTCTTTCTGATATGGGACAATTGTATTATATGCAAACGATATTAGTATCATCAATCCGTGTCAAAATTATTTGCTTTCACCGTTTATAAGTAGATGCTAATTAACATATGTCCAATCTTTTGTTTTCTGAGCAAACCATTAATTAGTTATCTATGCATGATTCAGACGGGAAGTTGATGATGGAGTACATTGGAGCCACCGGAGTTCCCATAACATTTGACTCCGTACCGATTGACAATGAGATCGACTTCCATTTCATACTCGGGTTTGCGATTGATGCAGACTCATCAGGCAAACAACAAAATGGGATATTCTCACCATATTGGCAATCTACATTAACCCCACAATCTGTTGCAGCCATCAAGAAAAAAAACCCTAATGTGAAAGTCATGGCAAGCCTCTCAGGTTGGAGCTTAGGTGATAAAGTCCTTCACTGGTACAATCCGACAAACCCCAAAAAATGGGTATCTAACGCTGTCTCGTCTCTCGGTTCCATAATTACCACTTACCAACTTGATGGCATTGACATAGACTACGAAAAATTCCCAAAGCGGGGTAATTCAAGTTCTTTTGCTTTTTGCATCGGCGAGCTCATCACCGGCTTGAAAAAGAAAGGGCTCATTTCCGTTGCTAGTATTGCACCGTTTTATAGTACAGCTGCGCCGTATGTTCAGCTTTTTGATGACTATGCAGATGTTATAGACTATGTCAACCACCAGTTCTACACCGACAAAGTTACTACCCCGAAGGGATATCTGCAAGCCTTTAAGATTCGAGCCGCGCAATTTGGCAAGGAAAAGTTGTTGCCCGCCTATGAAGTAGATGGAAGAGGAATTCAAGGGGATGCCTTTTTTGATGCTTTGACACTGTTGCAGACAAATGGATTTGAAATTAATGGGGTCATGATCTTCTCCGCTGATGCTTCTTTGAAAAACAACTTTCACTATGAAAGAAAATCACAAGCTTTCTTGCTCAACTCTACCAGTAGTACTAACTAGTCTATGTGCGTTACAATATACTTAGCCTCCTCGCATGCGCTCTCACGCGTGCAAGAGCCATATATAGTATAGATTATTTGTTCATCGTGACTTGTTTTGCGAGTTATGTATGTTCTAGTTGCTTTTTTTTTTTTTTTTTTTTTTTTTGCATTAGTTTGTATGTATTTTGCTAATAAAAGAAAGGTTATCATTCTTAATATATTAACCCTATTTGATCTCTTTCCTTCCCATGTGTTACCCCGTACGTTAAGAAGATTATCCAACATCGATCGGCAGTCACAGATTGCTGCAGAAACTACTTTCAGAATCAGAAAATATAAAAGCGGGATAAGGGAACAATGTAAGAGATCCAAAATGATTAATTCAACAAAATTATATTGAATAAAAAGTAAGCACTCCAAAATTTCAAGGAGGCAAAGTAATTACAAAGCGAGGAACACATTAAGCCACTCGGCATACGGATACCATCATCACAGTTACCTTTTGTCCTGGATTTGATTTTCTAATAATCTTAATTGTTTTCTTGTAGCAGCTCCCATCACCGCTAGGGCTAGACCTTTTGCGAGGGAAGGTATTAGACCTCTCAGACTGCGGTGGTTTGCACTCACTAGCTCTGCGCTTATTGGAACCATGAGCCGCTTGAAGCTGTCGCTTCAAAGACTTGTTGTAAGCCTCTCTTTTAGCAGGGTTAGAGAGAACGTCCAACGCTGCCTTAACATGCTTGAAAGCACCCTCGGCTACTATTGATGCATTCTTGTCGGGGTGCAAGGCAAGTGCCAATCTCTTGTATTGTTTCTTGATGGTTTCGGAGTCGGCAACTGTAGGGTTTTCGATGCCAAGAACACGGTACCAGTTTTGCTTGTGTGGTGACACGGCAGAATGCATTTGGTATGCAGTCATGTAGTTGTCCATACCAGACAAATCTGGATCAAACTCTTTTACTGCCTTGGCTTGCATGATTGCATATTTGAAGTTACCGAGCGTGAAATATGCTTCTGCAGCCTGTCGGGCCTTTACTGCAGCCATATGTGCGAGGTTGGTGATGTGATCAGGACACAAGGGTTGAGGGATGGAGTTGCTGGGGATTCTGCTGCGGCTGATGGCCATCTTACTGCTCTTCAACTTTGAGATAGAAGCCATGGTGTAGATATATCGAGAGAGAGAGAGAGTGAGAGTACTGAAGGAAGTAGAAACAAAGATAGAATTCTTGCAGGTTGGATATATATATGATGCAAACGTTGCTTGCAACTTAAGAAACGCGTTAAAACCCTAGAAAAAGGGTACTTGGGCAGGAAGTTCCATTCCTATTTGTAATTAAAATTAGTAACCGACTCAACTGACCAAATTCATAAATATTTTTGTTCAAATTGGATTTCTAGTACTGTCTATATCAAAGGCCCAAATCTATTTTTTTTTTCTCCTTTATTTGCTGATAATGTAGAGTTATATTACTGTATAGGTCATATATATGTTCCTAGTTCAAAAAACTAAAGAAATTAATAGATGGTCCACTTAGCAACAACTCCAAATACCATATAAAAATAATTCCTAGTAGTATAGTAATAACTCAACAAGGTTCCTGCCCTGTTCCAAGGTGAGAAACTTTATTTGAACTCGATTGGCTAAGTTTGGCCACACATAAGTTGGATTTGCAGTAACTAAACCCTGGTGCAACCGCCTGCATTTCTTGCTAATACCCTTATGCAATATACCTTAATTGTACTTATTTTCACAATAAGTAAAACAAGCTTTTGGTTACGAATATAGGGTGAGTTCGAAGTTTTGAAGCCCCCAAAATAAGGTATGACTCGAATTTTTGAGCGTTCGTGTGATCTTCACCACTTTGGCTGCGGGTGGGACATTTGGTCATCCAACACAAACAATATCAACATAATTTGACATGTAGGCGCCAAATAATTAATAGGCGAATTTTTGTGGTTTGCTACTGAACTCACCTTCAATTTTTCAGTGAACGAGCACCTAAATGAACCCCAGCCCATTTTTGTTCAAATCCTTACAATCCTATGAAGTAGATGGAAGAGGAAGTCAAGGGGATGCCTTTTTTGATGCTTTGACACTGTTGCAGACAAATGGATTTGAAAATCAACGGGGTTGTTATCTTCTCAGCTGACGCTTTTGAAAAGCAACTTTTACTATGAGAGAAAATCACAAGCTTTCTTGCTCAACACTACCAGTAGTACTAACTAGTCTAAGTGCATGATTACAATATACTTAGCCTCCTCGCATGCGCTCTCAAGCGTGCAAGAGCCAATATAGTACAGATTATTTTTGCATCGTGACTTGTTTCGCGAGTTAAGTATGTTCTAGTTGCATTTTCTTTTTTTTTTTTTTTTTTTTTTTTTTTTTTTTTTGCATTAGTTTGTATGTATTTTGCTAATAAAAGAAAGGTTCTCATTCTTAATATTAAACCTATTTGTTCTCTTTTCATTCCTATGTGTTACCCTCTATATTAAGAAGATTATCCAACATCGGCAGCCACAGATTGGTGCGGACTGCGGAGACTACTTTCAGAATCAGAAAATATAAAAGTGGGATAAGGGATCCAAAATGATTATTCAACTTGTATTGAATAAAAGTAAGCACTCCAAAATTTCAAGGAGGCAAGGTAATTACAAAGCGAGGAACACATTAAGCCACTCGGCATACGGATACCATCATCACAGTTGCCTTTTGGCCTGGATTTGATTTTCTAATAATCTTAATGGTTTTCTTGTAGAAGCTCCCATCACCGCTAGGGCTAGACCTTTTGCAAGGGAAGGTATTAGACCTCTTCGACTGCGGTGGTTTGCACTTACTAGCTCTGCGCTTATTGGAACCATGAGCCGCTTGAAACTGTTGCTGTCGCTTCAAAGACTTGTCGTAAGCTTCTCTTTTAGCAGGGTTAGAGAGAACGTCCCATGCCGCCTTAACATGCTTGAAAGCACCCTCGGCCGCTACTGATGCATTCTTGTCGGGGTGCAAGGCAAGTGCCAATCTCTTGTATTGTTTCTTGATGGTTTCTGAGTCAGCAACTGTAGGGTTTTCGATGCCGAGAACAAGGTACCAGTTTTGCTTGTGTGACACGGCAGAATGAACTTGGTATGCAGCTCCGTAGTTTTCCATAGCATGTAAATCCGGATCGAACTCTTTTGCTGCCTTGGCTTGCATGATTGCATATTCGAAGTTACCGAGCGTGAAATATGCTTCTGCAGCGTCTCGAGCCTTGACCGCCGCCATACGCGCGAGGTTGATGATTTGATCAGGACACAAGGGTTGAGGAATGGAGTTGCTGGGGATTCTGCTGCGGCAGATGGCCATCTTACTGCTTTTCAACTTTGAAATAGAAACCATGGTGTAGATATATCGAGAGAGAGAGAGTAGTGACGGACGTAGAAGCTAAGATGGTATTCTTGCAGGTTGGATATATATATATGACGCAAACTTTGCTTGCAACTTAAGAAACGCGTTAAAACCCTAGAAAAAGGGTACTTGGGCAGAAAGTTCAATTCCTATTCGTAATTGAAATTAGTAACCGACTCAACTTACCAAATTCAGATATATTTTTGTTAAAATTGGATTTCTAATAATTTATCAAAGGCCCAAATCTATATTTTTTCTCTTCTGTTTTTTGCTGATAATGTCAGAGTTATATACCGTATAGGTCATGTATTTTCCTAGTTGAAAAATTAAAGAAATTAGCAACAACTCCAAATAACATATGAAAATAATTCCTAGTAGTATAGCAATAACTCAACAAGGTTCCTGCTAAGTTCCAAGATGAGAAACTTCATTTGAACTCGATTGACTAAGTTTGGCCGTTGTACATGAGTTGGATTTGCAGTAACTAAACCCTGGTGCAATCCTTACCACCGCTTGCATTTCTAGATAAAACAATTACGATATATACCTTAATTTTTACTTATTTTCACAATAAGTAAAATCTCACTAATTCAGACGCTTTCATAATGGAAAACAAGCTTTTGGTTATGAATATAGGGTGAGTTCGAAGTTTTGGAGCCCCAAAATAAGGTATGAGTCGATTTTTTGAGCGTTCGTGTGATCTTCACGTGTTTGGCTGCGGGGTGGACATTTGGTCATGCAACACAAAAAATATCAACATAATTTGACATGTAGGCACCAAATAAATGGGGGAATTTTGGTGGTTTGCTACTGAACACACCTTCAATTTTTCGGTACACGAGCACCTAAATGAACCCCAGCCCATTTTTCATTCAAATCGTTACAATCCCACAAGATTGGGAGTAAAATTAAATAGTACTAGCATATGGGCACACAAAGTGTGTGAGAAAATTTTTTATCTTTGTTTTTGAAATTGAAGGAGAGAGAAAGGGAGTGATAGAGAACGTGGGAGTGAGAAGTTTTTATTTTATTTTTTTATAATTAGAAATATGTTAGGATTACATGTAGGTGAGACTTTGAAAAAAAAAAACAAAATTTGATTGTGTGAAATTACATTTATGCTCCATATTTCTTATTTATGTTCTGTTTTAATTAATTACTGATAATTTCATGAAGTTTTGGTTGATAATGAGTGTTTTATTAATTAGTAGAGATAATATACTACCAACCCGCATGCACTCGCAAGCGACATTTTCTGCTACTTTAATGGATAAAATGTTTTTCGTTGTGGCTTTGTTTTGTAAGTAAAGTATTCTGGTTGTGAATTTTTCTTTTGGTTGCTTTAAATTTGGATGAATTGTTGTTTATAAAAGAACGCTTATCATTATTACATATTAACCCCGATTTGATCTCTGTCGTTCCCATGTACTACCTTGTTTATTGACAAGATTATACAAATTTGGCTACCATATAAATCGATGGAGAAACTACATTGAAAGCACATGCTTTCTGTTCTGTGTTCTACCGTAAGAAACCCCGTTCGACAAGCTATACGAAGCCCCATTTTCTATCCCTTTCAACATGGTTCTGAAAATATAAACAGAAAAATATACAAAATAACTAGCTATAGAGAAAATATAAAAGTGTAAATCAGGGAACGATGTATTGAAATACAAATACATACAACATAGTAAGCACTCCAAATTTCAAGGAGGTAAACAAAGCGAGGAACACATTAAGCCATTCGGCATACGGATACCATCATCACAGTTGCCTTTTGGCCTGGATTTGATTTTCTAATAATCTTAATGGTTCTCTTGTAGCAGCTCCCATCACCGCTAGGGCTAGACCTTTTGCGAGGGAAGGTATTAGACCTCTTCGACTGCGGGGGTTTGCACTCACTAGCTCTACGCTTATTGGAACCGTGAGCTGCTTGAAACTGTCGCTTCAAAGACTTGTCGTAAGCTTCTCTTTTAGCAGGGTTAGAGAGAACGTCCCATGCCGCCTTAACATGCTTGAAAGCACCCTCGGCCGCTGTTGATGCATTCTTGTCGGGGTGCAAGGCAAG